GGATTGCTCCCGCGAGCCTCGATGCCCCGCAGGGATGGCGGAGGGCAGCGCGGCCGTCCCCGGGATGCCTGGGCAGATCACTCTCAAAGGACACCGCGGCTCAGATTGCACCTTCCCTCCCAGCAGCGGAGGCCAAGGCTGCGGCCCTTCGGTCACAGGATCAGGCCAGTGCCTTTATCCCGCTTCTCACATGTTGGACACCTCCCTGCCCTCTTAGCCAGGGGCAGCGTGGGGCTGTTACCCCTGAAACCCACAGCTCCCGAGGCAGAGCCCCAGCACGGTTCCCCCTACCCTGGGGAAGGGGCAGGCTTTTTGGTTTGCTTTTATTGATATTTTTGAAGCACTACGTCATTGCTTTAGCAGCAGACCCACCTCCCTCCCAGCTGCCTCTGCCACACATGGGCCAAAGATCTGCTCCATTCATCAGCCTGAGATTTATGAGGTGCAAAGGGCTCTGGTTACCCCGCTGCCCCCAGCCTCCTCCTGGAGACGGGATGAATGAGATGCTGCTGGTTCCTCCCATACCAGAAGCAAAACAAGCCCAGAGGAGAGTAAAGCCATCATTTCACCAAACTCAGCTCCCTAAGTCTCTACCGGAATGTGAAATCTTCCGCCATGAGACCCCTTGTGCTCCGCAGAAGCCCGGGGAGGCCCTGCTGCCCACGGAGGCTGAGCCTGCGTCCCGCCAGCCCCTCTGCACAGCCCGGCTTTGCTCATGTGAGACACTCCAGAAATAGAAAAGGGATTGAAGGTTTCGGCTACTCTGGATTCCTCGGGTCCGCGGGCCCCGCTGCCCCTGGCTGGCGCTGGGCTCTGCTCCGCTGTAAATCACCCTTCCCCCGGCTGCCATTTCCCTGTCCCTCGCACCTGGCTTTCCTCTCACTTCGGCTGTTTCAAGAGGCTGGGCGCGAAGACGGCCACGGGTGGAGGAGAATCCCTCGTCTCCAAACCCAGGAGGACTGTGGCACTGGAGGGGCAGGCAGCGACGCACGGCTTGGAAGAAACTTGGCAGCAGCCCTGAGGTCGGGAGGCAGCGAAGGGACCTGTCAGTGGCTGTCTGCATCGCCCGGGCAGGCTTTGGGCCAGTGAGTGGCCTTTCCTCCTGGCCCCGTGCAACCTCTGGTGGAGGCCAGCATGATGGTAGCACACAGAGCTTGTTCAGAGAGCTGGAGGTGTCCTCAAATGTCTGGCACCAAACTTCCGAGAAGCAGTAAGTGAAAACAATTCTCTTTGCAAAGAACCCCCCTATCAACAAAAAACGCGGATTTTAAAATAGATATCAGGGAAAAGCTAAAAACCCTTCCGATGCCACCATGCAAATTCTGCACCACGGGTTGACGAGCTCTCCTGAAAGACTGGACTGAGCAGGTCGGCGCAGAACGAAACCTGGAGATTCCCCCGCAAAGATCCGCACGGATACAGTGAGCAGATAACTGTTTATTATTGCACGTAATCCAGCAGAACAACCGACAGAAAACTCCGGACAGTAGTACGCAGATTGTAGTAAACAGCTTGCAAAATCTGTGACGACGGTATTTTTGTGTGAAGAGTGAAATGTATCTGCATCTTTGTAAGACCTGAAAAGTACGACACAATACCCTAGTCGGTTTTGAAAGCATGCAGTTTGAGGTAAATCTGTTATTTTGCATCTAAGAAAACGAAATCCCTAAGGGGCTATATATATATACGTACATATATCCATATCTCAGCGCAATATGGATATATTTATACGTCACATAAAAGCAAATCTACCTATTTTTCTCAGAAGGTTACTAGGAGGAAAGCACATTACCGAGTGCACATCACATGCATAAAAAATTGGGGCGGGGGGGGGGAATTACCTTAGCACTGTTGAAAAAGATCCATTTTTGTGCTTCGTGATAAATAAAAGCCCCTCAGGTCTCTCAACGGAAATTGTCTTGGTGGTTAATAAAAGCAGTTGGCTTATTGAAACTGCAGAGCTGGCAAGTGAATGCCAGCAAATGAAGATAAAACATCCAAGGCAGCAGAGCCTGGGGTTTGCAATACATTTATACTTAAGAAAAGAAAAAAAGAAAGAAGCAAATTGCTACTAAACTATGCTCTGTGGAAGTGTAGATGATGCTGCACAGCGTTCTCAGGACTGGTACAGCCACGTGGCTTTTAGGAAGGGATCACATTCACTTCTCCCACAGTTAACACCACGTATTTGCTACTGTGGCAATGTTCCTGAGCTGAATAAGGTTAAAAAAGAAACTTGGTTCACAAAGAAAAGTACTGAATTATTCTCACTTTCTTATGCCATAATCAGAGCAGATAAATCAGGCAGGTTTTGCCCTGTGTCTCCAGTCAGTGTAAATCCCTGCCTGTCTGCCACCCCACCTCTGAAATCCGTTCAGATTGACCTTTGCAGCAGACTGGGCATCTGTTTTTTTCCTTAGCCATCATTTCCCCATTCTTTCCAGTCCCTCAGGTTTTCCCACCCAGTCCTGTGCGGTGGGACTTCAGGATACACAGAGGTGCACAACCGACTACAAATAACATTTCCAATTGTCTTAAAAAGGGATAGAAAATGCATGTTGCTCTTAAAAGAGGGAAGAAACATATCCAAGCACTCAGCCTCACACTAAACCGTAACTTCATCTGTGCCGACTTTCTAAGCTCGCACTGCTGAGGATCAGAGCAGATCACGGTGGAACCATCTTCCAAAGGCGCAGCTTTGGGAATATTCGGTGCAAACTGCCCAGGCCTCTAAGCCTCGCACACGAGAACAACAGCTAGAATTGCCCCTCTGTACTCTATCACTGCTGAAAGTCTGGCTGCTGCGTATTTTTGAGCCTAACACCCAAATACACTGGAGTCACTCAGGTCTCTGCACCTTTTTCCTTTCGGGAATAACGTAACCTCTCCCACGACAGCCACTCTGCATCCCCTGGCTGGAAAGCGTTCACGCTGTTGCAACGAAAGAGCACAGGACCCCCCTGCAGCCCGGCGCACGGAGGGGAGGAACCTGCGGGCGTATGGAGGTATTTTTCAGTAAGTACCTCCTTTTCATTGTAACTCGCACCGTTTTCATAGAAAAAAGGGGTAAAGGGACAAATTCAGCACACCTGTTTCCTTTCCTGTTACAGCGGGAAGTCACCCGCTGCAAGACACTTCTGCACGGAGCGTTGCTGGTGGCAGGAGAGCGCTCGGACGGCGCCTGGTCCCGAAATGGGCACCACCTCCACCCGCAGCACCCCTGCACGCACGAACAGCCTCGGAGCAGCCAGTCCCTCGCACCCCAGCCCATGGCCCCAGTCCCTGGCGCTTCGGCAGGCATGGGCAGGACTCTGGTTACACTTCAACAAGCCCAGTTTCAACTTGCTCCCCCTCTCGGTCCTCCATACGCGGAAAACGACTCCAGGCAACGGGGAAAGGAAAGACTTTTTGTGCGTCCCTTTGGATGACGGCCGAGCACGGAGGGCGATGTTGTCCACCCCTAGCCGTGGCACGGCTCTCATGAGTCATTTTGGTTGCTGCGTATTGCTTCATCTCCACAGCATGGATGGTATTCTTTGGGAAATCTCTGACACTGAGTCAACCAAGGGAGTGACAAAACACATCAGTGTGCACGGATGAGACCTTCTCACTCGTTTTCCTACAGCTACAGACAAACCCCTCATCCCTGGCATGACAGGACAGTTGATGGCTTTGGTGAGAACAATTTAAGGCAACTGCTATTTCATACAAAGAAGAGAAGGAGGCTGAATTGCAGAAACCCTGGCTTTTCCTTGGTAGATTGCAGGGGCCAGCCACAGCCTGGGGGCAGGGAGACTGAACGGATCTTCAGGCGCTTTTGTTTAAGGTTCATGTTCGTAGTGCAACCTTGGGATCTCAAGTCCTCCTCTGAGGTGTTTCCAGGTGGCTGAGATTTAATCCCTGCCAAGGTCTGTGGTCTCCATCAGCAGCAACGCCTGTCCCAGACAGAGATGAACAGGAGAGTCAAGGGGGAGCGAAATGCACGACCAACACGTCATCGCGGCTTTCGCCTGTGCGGGCTGCGTGGGGACTAATAACACGACAGAAAGCAGTGCCCAGCGGAGCAGTTTTATCCCCAGGAGGCCCCGGGAAGGCAGCCCGATACCCTCACGGGGGCTTGGGAGGAGCCTCTCACATTATGTTCACGGGAGGTCCAACGGTCAGGTTCAGCCTTGATGTTTTTTTTTTTTTTTTGCAATATTTGAGCCCAAGGCAACAGAAATCTTGTGCAAACCCATGACACGTTCCTATGTGCAGGAACCCCGCAGGCACAAGTAACCTCACAAGATTTTATTGCCACCAAATCCAAACGCAAACCCTCATCCCAATTCAAGTGGAAGACCTGAGCGAGCTCCGGTTTAACCGTAGCCAGATACTCATCTCGGCTCGTATTTACCTTTGGGAACACAACTTCGTAACAGCAGCAGTGGAACTAGCGCTGGTGCAATTAGAGCTGCAAATTTCAGAGTTTCACATTTTCTTTGTGTTCCTGCCTCTTGCTGGGCTGAGTGCCAAGAAACACTGCAACGCATGAATTCCTGGCAGCAAGCGGCCACGGAACAGCAAATTCAAAGTGTTTCTTGCAGCTTATTTGCAGGAAACAAATTTCAAATTTAACATCACATATTCTTGCACTGCAAGTCTCCATGAATCATGTCCATCCAACCAGGAAGGCAAAACTATACTGTGGGATTGCATCCAATCAACACAGTTCCATTTTTTAACTTTGGGAGAATGATATTATGAAAAAGAGAATGATCCACTGAAATTACTCCACAAATCAGTCTTTGAACGGACAAGGGGTTACTGAGAATCTCAAGGCTCAAGGCAAAGCAATTGGATCTATTGAATAAATGCCCATGCATTTCCATCACCAGGGCCTCCATCAGTGAATGATTTGCGTTGGCAATAAAGCCAGTCAACCCTAAACCGTCCACAGTGAAGCCCTACAAATTGAGGCTAAAATCTCATTGCTCGTCTTACCTTGTCCGAGGGGCACATCATGTCAAAAAATGTACAAACAGGATGGCCAGACCAATGTTCAATAAGATGACCATGCAGATCACGATTGTGTTAGGTCCCTGAAGGAAAACCCAAAACAGAGTATTATACACTGCAATTCCGGGTGAGGAGACAGATACAGCTTGCTTCTGCTGTTCAAAACCACCAGAATCACCCCCTCCCGACACACACAAATCTGGCACTTAACAACCAGCCTGAATTTCAAACTAGTTGAGTATCTATCAATCCCTATTCCTATTTCTCCCCTGCAAACTCCTGCTAAGGAGGCTAGATCAGGCTTCTTCTGAGGCGAAAGCAGATTAAAGGCGACCCTGACCACAGGCCCACAAACTGCCGAGCCCATGTCAAGCTGCTCCTCCCGACTCCTTTCTCCACCCACAGCGCCCACGTTTGTAAAGTTGCCATTTTTAAGATGAACGAACACATCCGTATGAGATTGCTCTAATTTCAGACCAAAATATTTCCAAGCTGTGCTTTTCTAAAGTCGCGCCAGAACCATTCACGTCCAAAGGGCTGCAAGATGAGAAGACGTGGGCTAATAAAACGTCTAGTTTTACAGCCGTATTTGCTAACAGCAAAGTTGAATTTCTGTATTTTAAAGCTGGGAAATCAGCTGGTGATTTGATACCGCAGTTCGGCTCATGAGGTGCCCCTACTGCAAAAGAGTAAAAGTAACAGGTAAAAAAGAAACCCTGCTCAGCTTTTTCTTCCCTGTCCGACATTATCGCCCCAACTTCCCAGATCCCTGTTTGCTGGTAAAAGGGTGGGAAAAGAAGGGGAGAAAAGTGTAAAAAATGAATCAGCAAATGCCTGTTTTCCTTGGATTCTGAAATAGGGACATGTCTGAAAGCTATCTACCCCGGTGCAGAGGGGAAGTTAAAATACCAGGGTTATGAACGCCAGCCGCAGCAGCCGGGGCAGGGCGGGCTGGGGAGGCGGCGGGAGAGGGAAAACAAGACAGACCCTCCTCCAGCAAGCTCTGGGAACCCGCAAGGAGCCTCTGGGCACCGCTCGGGGCCCGCTGCAGCCCGAGGCCAGGGGCTCTGCACCCCTCGGGGCCCTTTCTGACCTCCTGGGGACCAATCAACCAAAATAAGGAAAAAGCAAAGATGGCTCCCAGGGCTGCCTCCTGGCCTGCCCCCACGTCACCTCTTCGCACTCCTCCGCCTCCTGCGCTGCGGCCCCCGCCACTGCCGGGGCCGGGCCCCGCTTGG